TAAAAAAAAAAGATAGTAGGAAGGGAAGAATGAGGGGGGGAAATCAGAGGGAGAGACGAACGATGAGAGACTATGGACTCTGAGAAACAAACTGAGGGTTCTAGAGGGGAGGGGATGGGGGGATGGGTTAGCCTGGTGATGGGTATTAAAAAAGGCACGTATTGAATGGAGCACTGGGTGTTATACACAAACAATGGATCATGGAACACTACATCAAAAACTAATGATGTATGTTGACTAACATAATAAAATAAAATTAAAAAAAAAAAAAGAAATGGAACATCAAGTCCTGCCAGGTTTTTTTCTGCATATTTCTAAATCCCTCTCGTTTTTTCCATCCCCACTATTAGTGCCCTGCTAATTACTTAATTTAAGAATAACTAATTTATTAGTATCAATAGTTATTATTTCTTGCTTAAAGGATAGCAAAACTCTTCTCCTTGGTGGCCCTGACACTAACCGACCCTCTGTCTCTCCAGTCCTTTCTCCCACATGTCGTCAGAACAATAGCTCTAAAATAGAAATCTAACCGTGTTGCTCCCCTCACTACTAACCATCACCAACAGGTTAAAATCAAGGACTTACCTTGATATACATAGTTGTCAGTCACTTAGGCCTTACCTGCCTCTGTTCAATTTTTTCCCATCTTCTCTTTTCACAGAGTTCCCCATACTCCTGGCTATTTCAAGGATCCTGTGCCTTTTCTAATTCAGTTATTCCTTCTGCCATCCCCTTCCCCATCATCATCTCATCCTTCTTTGCTGTCTAAACTCCTGTTCATCCAGAAACACTCAGCTCAGGCTGTTAGATGCTCTTGTAGTAGTACTTTCGCCTACCTCCAGCAGAGCATTCCCTGTATTAAATGATTTGTTCATGTCTGTTCTCCCATTAGACAGGAACATGTCTATTTTTCCCTCCAAAGCCAGAGACCGCTCTCTTTTATCTGTTTTTGCTACTCTAATGAAGTACAAAGTCACACAGTGAGTGCTCAATAAACATCTGAACAAAACGGTAGGAAGGGCCAGGAAGGTATCGGGGGTGTATGAAAGAATCCTAATTGGTAGTTTGCAGGCCAGAGCTTTGACAACTTCTGTAGGCTTTATGGAGGGAGAAGATTTGTGCAAGTGGCCAGTCATAGGCTGTTCATCATCATCATTTCCAATGTTGTTGCCATCATCACCATCAGCATGGTTAACACTGATTGGGTTTGTATAATATGCCAGGCATATTACTCTCCTCATATGGTTTATTTCATTTAGTCATTCTTTCCAGCTCCATGAGGTAGGTATCCTGCCTTGTCCCTTATTGATGAGGAAACTGAGCTTTAGAGAAATTGAGTAACGTGCCCAAGGTCACACAGCCCATAATTGGTTGAGTGAGAAATGGAACTAGGTCATACAATTCATTCTTCTTTTTTTTTCCCGCAGGAATTTGCATTTTATTTTTTTTTAATTTTATTATGTTAGTTACCATACAATACATCATTAGTTTTTGATGT